TTTAGAGAGCGAGAAAGGGAGAGGGAGAGAGAGATAGAAACATCAATAGCCTGCCTCCTACATGCCCTCTACTGGGGATGGAGCCCACAACCCAGGCTCGACCAGGAATCGAACCGGCGACCTCTTGGTGTATGGGGTGAGGCCAACCAACTGAGCCACACCGGCCGGGCCAGACATTTCTTGAGTACCTATTAGACTAGAGTTCTGAAGTGGTCTCAAAACCTTCTGATAAAATAGGGTGCGTGTGTGCGTACACATGCATCCATTGTGGGGGCAGAAGATCCTGTTTAATTCAGACTTTCAGAGGATGGGTTTCCATATGTACCTGGGCAGGCTGTTCACTGAACAAGGGGACCCAGGTGAGGAGCCTAGGGAGGCCGAGACCCAGCCTTGCCCCCTGGGGACGGCCCATCCAGGGGAAGAGGCGGCATTTTCTGACTCCCACAGAGCCGTCCTGGGACTCCCCGGGCTGCCAAAAACGGTTTGGCTCAGTGGATAGAGCGTCGGCCTTCGGACTGAAAGGTCCCAGGTTCAATTCCGGTCAAGGGCATGTACCTGGATTGCGGGCACATCCCCAGTAGGGAGTGTGCAGGAGGCAGCTGATCGATGTTTCTCTCTCATTGATGTTTCTAACTCTCTATCTCTCTCCCTTCCTCTCTGTAAAAAAATCAATAAAATATATTTAAAAAAAAAAAAGAATCCCCGGGCTGAGCAAAGCATCCTCATCTCTGCCCACTCCACTCCCTCTGCCCCTGCTCCTTGTGGTAGGACCCGCACTACCCCTGCTTTCCGTGCCTGTTCCCATGGGAAAGAGCTGACAGAATGGAAGGGGAGAAGCCAGAGGACTAAGGAAGGGAAGGGAAGGCTTTAACTTGGAAGGAAACTAATTAGAAGAGTAAGTTGGCAGAGACCTTAATTATCGGGTAGCTGCTCCGCTGTATCCTCTCGGTGGCTCTGGGGCCGCCCTCCCAGGAGCCTGCGCCTCCACCGCCACGAGGGGGGAGGGAAGGCTGGGGGTTTGGCCTCTTAAACAAGAGCCTGCAGATTGGGAGGCCGACTCCTGCCTCGTCTACCACTTTCTAAAATCGTTTTTATTGTGGTAAAATACACCTCACATAAACTGTATCATCAGTGACATTTAGAACAGTCACAGTTTTGTGCAACCGCTGCCACTGTCTAGTTCCAAAACGTTTTCATCAAACAAAAAGGGAGACCCTGCCCCCCTCCGCACCCCTGCAGCCCCTGGCCACCCCTGCTCTGCTTTCTGTCTATGGGTTTTCCTGTTCTGGACATTTGATATAAATGAATCATCCCAGAACTTGGCCTGCTGTGTCTAGCTCATTTCCCATGCATGATTTCAGGGCTCACCCATGCTGCAGCGTGCATCGGCACTTCATTCCTTTTAATGGCTGAGCGTTGTTGTTGTTTGTGCGGTTACATCATCACAGTGCGTTTCTCCGTTCATCGGTTAATGGCCACTTGCCTTGTTTCCACCCTTTGGTGATTGCGGATAATGTGGAACAGGGTGTACAGGTGTCTGGGCGCTGCTTCACTTCTCTGGGGGGAGGGGGGTGTGCCCGTTGTCTCCACATCTTTTGGCTCCTGGCTGCTGCAATCCAGCCAACAGGATAACTTCCTTCTGGAAGAGGGAGAGGCAGTGCTGGGGGCCTTGGGGGATGGAGGCGGAGCACTGTCACCTGGCGGGCAGAGCGGGGACCCCTGGCTGTTTCAGAGGGGGGTGTGGATACCACCTTTACCACGTTGGCCAAATTAGGAAATTGGCCTGGGTGCCCTCCTCCCCCCACTCAGCACCCCTGGCCCTTCCTGGCTCAGTATTGGGGGTGCCTCCCCGGCAGGCACTTTCCATAGCGTGCAGGGTGGTGGGTCCCACATGTCCCAGATGGGGAGGCCTCGGGGCAGTATGGCACCCCCCCTGGTCATCAGTGTCCTCAGATGTCAACCGGAGCTTCTGACCCCACACACTTATTTATGTAAATAAGAGAAAAGCACGTGCTCTTGTGGATTTGGGCTGGGGGTTGTTCCCAGGTGGGACACAGGGTCAGAGGCTTGGTCCTCTCTCACTCCAGCAGCCCAGCTAAGGGGAGTCCTCCTCGCTGCCCGCCCTTTCCCCCGAACCCAGCAGCGGCGTCTTCACGTGGTGACCGCCCCAGCAGGCCCGTGTTAAGCCGGTCGTCTTGGAAACAAAAAGCTGGGGGAAGTGACTGTTACTGGTGGCATGTTAGACGCAGTGATGGGGAGGGTGGGGCGAACTTCACGCCACAGTAGGCAGAGGTCTCACTCGCATCCAGACGGCCCCCCTTCCCCTGGAGACCCCCATTTCCTGAGTATTCTTGGTGACAGGCACTTTCCCAGGCTCGGAGTTTCTCACTGTCGGTCTCCACAGTGTGTGCCTCAGCTGGGCTAACATCGTCCCTGTCTCACAGATGCCGAAGTAGGGCGGCCGGTGTGTCATTTCCCTGGGCCCCGGGCTGCTCAGTGGCTAAGTCCGAGGGTGGGTTCACTTTGCTGCTGGGTCTTTCTCTCTCTCTCTCTCTCTCTCTCTCTCTCTCTCTTCTCTGGGTCCCTGCAGCCTCGTTCTGCCCGTGCCAGTCTCTGCCCCGTCAGTCTCTGCCCTTGCGGAATGCATTCTCTTTCACAATTTCCCACTTCCTCCCAGCTTACCCGACAAGCCCCCGTCCGGTCTTCCCTTAGATGCTGTGCCGCAGGCAGAAGCAACTTAGTTCTAGACCATTTCTTTCTTCGGTCAAGCCCCCTGACCTCCCTGTTCCTGTTTACTCCCAACCCTACAGAGCCAACATGTGTGTCTCCTGTACTGTGGGTATTTCTCTCTCTCTCTCTCTCTCTCTCTCTCTCTCTCTCTCTCTCACACACACACACACACACACACACACTCACACAGAGACACGCACACTCACACTCTCACTGTACTCATCCTCAGGCTATTTGTCTTGCATATATTTTGACCGTCTTCCAACCTGGAGAGGCCCGAGCAGTGTCTGGAGGCCCAGGTAAGCGTGCCCAGGTGTGTGCTGGGGCTCAGCGGACATGCTGTGCCGGCGAGGAGGCTGCCTGCCCGGCGGCGGCCCACCCCTCTGGCCTGGCGGTCTGGAAGCCACAGAGGCGCTGCGGGTCAACAGGTGTGGGAGACAGAGTGTTCGGGGCACAGGGGAAGGTTTTTAAATAAATTGTGAAACTTCATAATGAAACATACAGGGAGGACCAGGGGGAGCCGTGCTCACTCGCAGTCCCTGGAGCAGCTGGGATTGATCTGATCCCCGATCCCCACCGACGTCGTGCAGGGCTCCCCAGGAAACGGAAGTGCGGGCTCTGCAGTCTGCAGAAAGCTCAGCAGTTTGGGAGCCGTGTCTGTATTGCTCACTTGCCAGCTATTAAGCCGTGGTCATCAGTGACCCAAAACCGCCTCGTAGGCATGGCTGGGGGATGCCGGTGACATTTAGGAGCCGGTTAGTTTTAATATTTCTGGACAGGGTCCAGCTTCGCTGAGAAAATCATGGCTCCTGTCCTGCTGTGTCTAGAATTCGGTCTTTATCCATTTATTTCTCCGCAAGGCACAGAAATTATGTGAGCTAATTTGGGCCCTTCTCTTATGTTTAAGTGTTCTTTAACTAACAAGTTTTATTTATTTTTTTGTTGTTAATCCTCACCTGGGGATATTTTCTCCATTGCTTTTCAGAGAGAGTGGAAGGGAGGGAGAGAGAAAGAGAGGAAGAGAGAGAGAAAGAGAGGAACATTGATGTGAGAAAGACTGGTTGCCTCCCACACGTGCCCTGACCAAGGGCGGGGAGCAGACCTGCAACTCAGGTACATGCTCTTGACCAGGAATCGAACCTGTGACCCTTTGGTGACTAGGCCGACGCTCTAACCACTGAGCACCACTGGCCAGAGTTAATAACTTTTATTTTTGCGTTTATTGAAGAAAATCTAGATGGAAGAGTTAAGCAAAAAGAAGGGGAGACATACTGCCCATAATCCCACCGGGAAGCACCTGCTGTAGCATCTATGTCTCTACCTCGTTTCTCTCTGTTCTCTCTATTGCTCTCTGATTATTTTAGGAAAAGCTCCATGCGCCTCTTGACCAGGAATCGAACCTGTGACCCTTTGGTGACTAGGCCGACGCTCTAACCACTGAGTACCACTGGCCAGAGCTAATAACTTTTATTTTTGCGTTTATTGAAGAAAATCTAGATGGAAGAGTTAAGCAAAAAGAAGGGGAGACAAACTGCCCATAATCCCACTGGGAAGCACCTGCTGTAGCATCTGTGTCTCTACTAGTTTCTCTCTATTCTCTGTATTGCTCTCTGATTATTTTAGGAAAAGCTCCGTGCGTGTGGTTACGAGAATTAAGCTGCAGATAAGTGCATGTGGTGAAAGGATATCCTGGGTTGTCTCAGACTCCAGTTCTCCTCGCGGGGTGATTTGGGCACTTGGAGAAAACCCACCTCGCTCTTCGATTCATGGCATTGTTGTAGGTTTCCCAGCTCGCTCTGCCGAGGCTTGCATTGATGGCTCTGGTCACTTCTCCAGCGGGCCCTGGCCTCGTCTGCGGCTGTGCTCAGCTGTGCTCAGTGCTCCCTGGGATGTCAGGCTGCAGAGTCCACACGGGAGTGCGGGGAGCGGCACCTCCCACCCCGTGAAAGTGCCTCACCCCCGAGGGTGGCTTTCTAGGGGCTAACAGAGGAGAAAGCCCAGTGTTAGCTGAGCGGCACTTCCCTCTGTCCTCGGGGGGAACCTGTCTCTCCTGCAGTGGCTCTGAGACAGCAGGCGCTCCTCACACCTCCCGCTCAGACAACCGCCAAAATCACACAAGCGAGGCCTGTGACCTCCCTTAGGGAGGCCTGTGGGCCACACATCCTCAATGTCGAGCTGTTCCAGGGTGACTTCATCTGCCCTGACTTCCTGGTTGAAAAACGGCTGCAAAGATGCCAGACGTGTGTGACCTTTCCTTTCCTCCTCCACAGAAGCCTGGGATGGTCCCCCCTCCGCCGGGAGAGGAGAGCCAGAGCGTCGTGCTGCCCCCCGGCTGGCAGAGCTACCTGTCCCCCCAGGGCCGGCGTTACTATGTCAACACGACCACCAATGGTGAGTCCCGCTCAGGAGTGGCCTGCGCCAGCCCTGGGCTTCTGTCTCTCCCAGAACCAGGCTTTCTCCTCCCTCCGCCACCTCCTGGTTTTTATTTTCTTCAGAAGCTGACCTGAGAGACGGCTCTCCCCACAGTGCTGGGGGGCAGGGGTCTGAGCCTGGATGGGGAAGCCTGCCCTTCAAGGCTGGGGTCCTCCTCGGACCCTTACAGCCACTCGGGCGTGTTTGCTGAACCAAACCTCAAATTAGGATGGAGAAAGGTTGTGGTCAGCAGCTAGTTTGAATCAGGTTGAGCGCTCGAGCTGTGCGCGCTGTCTTGGGGTCTGAATTACTAAATGACGCAGGAGTTCCCAGGCAGGCACCGCAAGATCGACGCCTCCCTGACTTCCCCACCGCGCCTCCTGCTCTCACCCGCATTATCGCACTGCCTGAGTCTTGGCATGTTCCTTGGGAAATGCTGGGGCTACTTATGGATGGTTTATTCTAGCAGATAGCAGGTTCCGTGTGCATCTCCGAGTTGAGGTGGGACCGCACTTCCATGCCCCCAGCTATTAGGGACTTCCCGGGCCTTCGCAGTGACTCCAGGATCCCGGGATGCTGACTGCAGGGTGAAGGAGGAGTGGCAGGTTACTCCAGCCAGCTGAGCAGACCTGTTGCAGGCCTGCGGGCCTAGGCATGGCAGAGCAAAGCCAGCTAACAGCTCTGCCCTTGGCATGACTCCCCCGGGAAACTGCCACGAGGAACAAAGGTTAGAAACGGAGAGTTAGGCTTGGTAGGAATCATAGATGTGTGTGCCAAGGCAGAACCTGAAACCTATTGGGGGCTCAGTCTTGGCTTCTCTCTTCCCTCGGCTGATGGCCGCCTCACCCCACCCCCAGGACCACTCATAGGGCTGCTGATTGAGCTCCACTCGGAGGGTCCCGGTGGCAGGAGAGCCAGCTGTGGTGAGAGGGAGCAGCAGAGAAGGCAGTGTGGTCACGCTCCCTGGCACCCTGGCCCTCCGCGGGCTCGGGAGGGGTGTTCTGGTTGAATAGGTAACCAGGGTTTCTAGGAAAAGGGAAGTAGGACTATTTTTGACCATTCTAATCTTACGCTTCCTCAAAACAAACATGAGCAGCTTGGCAGTTATCAGACTTTGAAGTGTCAGAGGAAAGTGTGTTTTGGGCAGCTCCCCAAAATGCAGAAACTGGACCATATGACCCTGAGATCATCAAGCATTGGGA